CACCCGGGCATCTGTCTCTGGAGCCTAGAAGAGCGGCAGGCTCGATCCTCCGTCCTTCCTGACATCTGCTGTTATCTCACTATGCAGGTAGGCTCATGCATTTCGAACAAGGACAGCGAGACAGGAGCTGGGAGGAGGAGGAGGCCTGCTTAGCAGAATCCAAGAGGGTCTTGCTAAGAGCAACAGACCGAAGACAAGAAACGTTCAAGACGAACAGAGCTGGTTCAAAATTTAAAAAAAAAAATCCATTTTCAACTTTTCAGCAAGAAGGGATTTGCACCAAACACTTTTTGGTGCTTTTCCAGGCAGCTTCTAGAGGGGGCAGGTATTTCCCCCGCCCTGCAAGAATTTGAAATGTCAGCAACAACAAAAAATACATCCCCCCTTTTATTTATGATCAGCTGCGGAGGTGACTATCACAAAAGAGGGTGCTATCCATCAGTCTGAGGAGTGAGCTCTCATGGGACGTTCTGAAGCATTTTGATCTGGACTGGTGACAAATAATATAGGGAACAGGCGTGTCTACACATTCATTAATGCGCTTTAGGTATTGCGCATTAAACCTAGTACCTCCAGGCGCTTCTTCACAAGTGTGAATTAACCAAGTCCGCTGGTGCGTGGCAATTACCGCGCTCCAGCAGCCTCCTGCGTCTCATGCATCAGCATCCCCATGCTTAAAAATGGCGGGGGGCAGCGCTTGAATTAAAGCTCGGCGAAGAAGCTTTAGATCGAGCGCTCCTGCTGCTGTTTCTAGGGGTAGAGCTGCTGATATACAAGACACGGTGGCACTTTAATTAGAGCAGTTCTTGGAGCCACTCTAATTAAAGCGCCACCCTCCACCCCCGGAGCACGCGTAAAAGTGCCCACCGTTGTGATGTACTAGAAAAATGTGCATTAGCCTATTTTACTGCACATTCGTGAAAGAGCATGAGGGGGGTTGTGATGTTTTAACGTGCATTAAAATAGGCTAATGCGCATTAAAGTGCATGTGTAGATGTTCCCAAACAAGCCTTAACTTGGCTTGCCAAATAGATTGGAGCTGAGGATGGATCAGATGGTTCACCACACAATTCCCTACCAATATGGGACCAAGGAACATACTGGTCAGGCTGTCCTAAGTCTACGGTTTTGTCTACAGCAGGATGCAAACCATTCATTCAAAAGGAAGCCTGAGCGCTGTCCGAGACAGGCACCTGGCCCGGTAAAGCAGCAAGCTGGTCCTCATCCTATCCACACCAGCCAGAGAGCAGCAATGCAGCCAAGAACAAAATGATCTACGTTCTCCTGATCTGAAACATGCTTTGCTTATCGCCAAGGAACGGACTTGGAGCTGCCTCCGTGCGTGGAAAAGAAAGATTCGAGCCCCTGCCAGGTGAATAGGACCCGTAACGCGTAGAAATCCGTCTATGCACAAACACCCGAGGATGCGAAACGCCAGAGGCTGAACCTCAAGTAACAATAATTAAGATGAAACCAAGCGAAGGAATCAGCCTACCCTCCTTTTTCAAAGAAAACTGAGCCGGCAAGCTTAGCCCGCTCGACAAACCTGGATGTCACTGAAAGAGAAAGCTTAACAGTTGCTCTAGGAAAATACCGTTATTAAGAATGATTCGCATGCTACAGACTCTCGTTCTCTCTTCCTCCCCCTGTCTCCTAATCCTCAAAAATGGCTCGTGCTTATTTATGATGTCAGCCAGAGTTCAGACTGGAAGTGGAGGTATGCTAGCTGAGCAAACAGCGCTCGCTTAGGGCTTGGGGCTGGCGCTGCATGTCGGGGGGAGGAGAGTGGCATCAAACTCTGAATCCCATCGCGATGTTGGAAATGAGAAAAATCGCTGTTCTTGTGAGGTCTCCGCTATGTCCTCATCAGGATCAGAACCAAAACCATGGGGCGGGAGAGGGTCAGATGGGGAAATTCAGATGTAAACCTGCCCCCTCTCTCCCAACTCACAAATTTTGAAAGCGTTTGGATTTCAGATCCCAGTTCTGGGACTAAGGGAGGACAATGTCACTCCCCTTCTGCCCCCCACAGTTAGAAATAAAGGACCTGGGTTTGGGTATCAAGAGAGAGCACAGAGTGGAAAACTCCCCATGTTAAAAAACGCTTCTCATCGGAGTTATAAAGCGAGCACAAAGCCCCGCAAGTCAAGGTACAAATTCTTAGTCGATCAGCAGGGTGCTTGTGTCAGGTACGAATGCATTTGAAGCGTCTTCTCTTTTCCATGACCTCATTCCTATAACCCACTCTCTTCCCCGCTGCCTCTTTCTTGTCCTGAGGTCTAAGACGAGGTGGTTTTTATTAAAACTGCCCTCTCCTGAGATTCCCACCAAAGGTTTCTCACTCCCCCTCGTCTGCAGGGAAAGAGAAAGATCTTTTCCTCCTGACGGGGTACTTAGATGCACCTTCAAGAATTTGCCTGGCTCTGCTTCACTTCCTCTGCTGCCGCCCCCAAGTGAGCACAGCTTTTTCCAAATCCCCTCCTATAATAAGCCTTCCTCTCCTCTCCTGCAGACAGGGCCCTGTCAAGGAGAGAGCCGAGCCCAGGGACATCCAGCAGCTTAAAGCCAAGAGCAGTGAGGACGCGCCGCAACTGCGAAAGGGCAATTTGATCCAGTGAATTCTCTTCCTTGTACCAGACTCATCCCCGTACTTTTGAGCATCTTCCAGGCCTGCATTAAGCAATGTGACTTAACATCTGCAAAGCACTGTTTGTTCTCTTGTCCCCTCCCCAGGGAGAAAAGTGTGTGCAGCCGAGTGGGGGTGTTATTATTATTATTATTATGACACACACACCCCTGCTGCCTTGTACCTACATCAGGCTCTGGGAAGACAAACACATGCCCCCCACATCATCTGCGCTGCTTTTGATATGCTGGTGGGAACTAGTCTGGGGGTAGGAGCAGACACGCAGCTCTCCCAGGGCACCTTGCTATTATCTGGCAGGGGAGCAGGTAACGGCGGGTTTGCCTTTAGCAAACAGATACTCCAGGATGGATGCTGACAGACGAGACCTAAACCAGGGTATCTTACACTGGTAATTTGCCCCTCCGTGATTTCTTCCAGGGGTAATTCTGCCCCAGAATGAGCACATGGTAACAACCTTTTACAGCTGCAAGACGCTGGCTGCCAAGGCCCCCCTGCTTCATCTGCGGTGAGGGTGCTAGGCCTTGTGTTGCGCCAGGGTTGACTGCAGTTTTGCTAAGACTAAGAGGCTACACAACGGATTTGTCTGGGATGGTTTGGACGGGGCTGATCCTGCCTCAGGCAGGGCTTGGACTCGACATGACCCCGCTGCTCTACGTTACCCTTGCTTGGCAGCCGATTTCTCTGGTGTGTATACGCCGGTGCAATGCCACTTACGCAGCCACAATCATGTAATGTGTCAGAGTCCTTTGAAAGACGGGGTCCATAAACTATCACAGCCCAACTCGGTAACGTGACCGTTGCCGGCATCGCCGAACCTGGGATGCTGCACTGTCAAAGCCTTGACACGACTGAAAACCACCAAAGCGGGCCATGGGCTTCCTGCACCGCCAATCTGCCCTGCCTCCCCAGTAGTGCGTCGTCTCAGGCCAACACGGTGTGCTTGGGGCTGCCAGTGGTGCCCACGGCTGCCCCAGTCCGGCCGGGAAGACTATGGTAACCCCAGAAAACCCCCAAGAGCATGGGAATAAGGATAAGCGTGACTTTCCTACCCTCCCCACCCATCCAGTCCCCTCTCCGGCACCCTTAGGAAGCTCGCCGCAGCTGGCACTGCGGACCTGATCCGTATTACACCGGCACAAATACAGAGTAACTCCATTACAATCACCAGCCTCCCCCAAGACGCTTCCTAGCAATTCCCCTGCCGACTCCGCGCGTAGCGAAGCCGGGCAGCAAACAGCGCGGAGGTGCCAGCGCGGAGCCGGGGTCTGAGCTCAGATCTGCCCAGACGCAACCCTGCAGACTAAATGCAGCCTCCGACTCCCTGATCAGGATATGGCCAGGGGTCTTCCCTAGAGTCCAGAGCCAGGCTCTGCACCAGACCTACGGGCATCCCAGAGCCAAGCGCAGGGGGGAAGGCTGGAGGCAAATCCACCCCTAGGATCAAGGGCTGCGTCTTTTAGGGCACCGGGGCCGGCTGGAGGTGGGTCCATCCCCAGGATAAAGGGCACCGGCCGGAGGCAGGTCTGTCCCGAGCTGCGGTCACTCCTGGCACCCCGGCTGGGGGGGTCCAAGCGGGCAGGGCCCCTTTAAGAGCGGCGTCGGCCGAGGGCTCTTCACCCCCCCGCAGGTTACTGCAGTTCAAGCCACACGTGCCACCGGCGCGGGGCGGAGGGAGGGGCCCAGCCGCCTGCCCTCCCCTGCGGGCACCCCCCCACGGCCGCGGCGGTGAGGGAGGGGGGGGATTTCCCATCCTCCGCACCCGGGGCTCCGCGGGGGCCGTGCGTGCCCC